GTGGTTGAAGTACGTGGACGATGTTAACTCAGAAAACAAGCCGGTAGCGAGAGTTGCCGTCATGGCGCACTATTACGGCGACGAAGCGTTGACAAAGCTGCTGTTCGACGCAATGAAGACCCCAAGTACGGCAAGTATGGCATCTACATTTCACGAAGAGCAAATAGTGCGTTGGTTGAGCACTAGAAAGGCCCCTGGAGATGTCTTCAAGTTCTTGGCACTCAACAGGGCTGGTGAAAATCTGTTCGAAAATCCGCAGCTTACAATGTGGTTGAAGTACGTGGATGATTTTAATGCTAACAATACGCCGATTTCGAGAATTTCGGTCATGACGAGCTACTATGGTGACGAGGCGTTGACGAAGATGTTGTTCAAAGCAATGGAGACACCGAACACAGCAAATATGGCAGGCAAGTTTCACGACGAACAATTCCAGCATTGGTTGGATACTCAAACACACCCTGGAGAAGTCTTCAGGCCTTGGTACTTGACAAGGCCGGTGACAAATTGCTACAAAATCCGCGGTTTGCAACGTGGATAAAATATGTGGATGATTTGAATTCGGACAACCTGTCGATATCGAAATATGCGGTCATGGCACATTACTATGACGATGAGACGTTGACGAAAATGTTGTTCGAGGCAATGAAGGCTCCGAGTACCGCCAATAACGCAGCTAAACTTCACAAAGAACAAATCCAGTACTGGCTGGATACTCGGAAGCCCCCTGGAGATGTCTTTCAGCTCTTGTCGCTGGACAAGGCAGGCGAAAAGCTGTTCGATCATCCACAGTTCATGAAGTGGGTAAAATACGTGGAAGATCTTAACAAGGTACATCCCGACAAGAAAACGACCTTAATATCAGTTTTGGCTAAACATTACGACAGCGAAGCGTTAGCAAAAATGATGGAGTCGGCCAAGGATGTCCCTCAATCGGCGAAACTGGTAAAGCTACTGGAGACAGAGCAGAAATGGATGACGAAAGAGACCCCAGATAATTTATTCAAGCGACTCAAACTGGATCAGATGGAGAATCATGTGCTGAGTAATACTCAGCTCAAGACTTGGATTAACTACATGAAGGAGTACAATGCGGTGAATCCCAAATATAAGGCTACACTGATTGGAACATTGGCGGCGAATTATGGAGAATTAAAAGTAATAAAAATGCTGGATGAGGCCGCGAAGGCGAAAGATACTGCGGGCGATGCCAAGGTACTGAAGAACGAATTATTGCAAAGCTGGATGCAGAAAGGCTGGAGTCCGGAGTACATCTTCGACGTGGTGTTACGTCTTGACCAAGATGGAAATAAGCTCTTTAGAAATCCGCTGGTGACCACGTGGGGAAAATATTTAATTGCTTTTAATCGGGATAATTACGGCAAGGAAACGACGATAAGGATGATGTTGGCGGCTACGGGTATAGACCCCGACGACTTGAGACCTGTGTCTGACAAAGCTCCAGAACAGTTTTTCGCTATGATGGGACTCACCGATAAGGGACACAACTTACTGATAAGCCCTGAATTCGCCAAATGGATTCACTACCTCGATGACTTCTACGAAGAGTTTCCTGATTTGCGTAAAACCATGATGACAAATCGTTGGTAAATATGATCGCATCAGCCTCGAAAATCTCAAAAACGAAGGAGATTGCTAAAATCGTGGAGTTCGAGCTGTTTAAAAACTGGTATGGCGTCTCTTATAGGTCGGCGGACCAAATCTTCACGATCCTCAACCTTGACCGAGCAGGATCATCACTATTCACCGGTCCTTGGTTGGACACGTGGATTCGATACATGATTATGTTTGAAGAATGGTATTTCCACAATCACATGGCCAAGACGCTTTTGAAATACTACGACGAGAATGATCTGTCACAGATGGTCAAAATGGCAAAGTGCAATCCAAACACAGAAAAGCTGGCCTCATATATCGAGAATGCCCTGCTCCGTTTCAATAATCTACCAAAATCTGATTAATACGGGTTTCTAGTTAGTAGTTTCGGATAAATTTCAAACTGAGTTGTACAAACGTTCCCTTTTTCGCTGTATATTACCCGACATACTCGCACGTCTTCTCTCTAACTGATCATTCACAGGCTCCTCGAAAGTCTACGCAAGTTTCTTTCTATAGGCAATGTATCGAAATGGTTGTCGTGGTGGGTCGGGGGACGGGGTGATCGTGGAGCTTGGATTCGTAACTGATTCAGCAGTGGACTCCACACTTCCTTGTAGATCTGGTCACGGGCCACCGAACGTACTTTCGACTAGTGGTATGGCACCTGAAGTCATAGATCCACACGCCTCCGCTACAAACCGTTGTTCAGCCCAGTTGGCGCAGTCGACATGAAGCGAGCGTATGGACGGCTACGGTGACCGTAGTAGTTGCTGTCAGCCTTACAGGTGTCGGCGTTTGCTTATCTAGTAGTGCGAGCGAGGAGGTTGCGCAAGCTGTGCTAGTTAAAATTAGGTTGGTCAACTGATGTAATTGAGTGTCTTTGATTGTATTGTTACTGTTAACACAATTGCATTGTGATAAGAGATTGAATTCGTTCATGCGTTGCTTTGGGTTTGATGGGAGGAAGTAGACAGAAAATTTTGGTTTGCCGTCTCAGCAGTAACACAACGAGTCACTCGCGTATCACATTCAATTACATCAGTTTGCCAAACCTCCCTCTTAACTAACTCGCTTCACTCGTAGGCACTGGTGCTGGCATTGTCCTGTTAGCCATAGGTGTGGGTGCGTCGGTTGATTCAGTGACCTCCGCGTTGTTGCTGTTGCTTGTTGTAGATCCTGTAGTGGAAACACTCAAGTAGGTGAGGTTTCAATCCATGTCGTTGAACTCGTGGACGTCTTATCGAGTTGAATGATGAATGCTATACACGATGTTACGACCCACCTCAGATCACCTCAACGCAAATCAGGCACAACTGTAAATGTCCGAACGATGGAAGCAGTCCAGCGTCTACAGAATCCTTGCTGCAGCTTGCTAGCAGCAGATACATCAACAGCTTGTTTCTATTCACGCCTGCGAGGTCGTCAGCTATGATGGCGGGGTTACGGAGCCCTTCCGTGGCTAATCGGTTGATTTCCCCTACTGTAGCCTACAGTAAAAACCAGAGAACCAGTTATTTGCCATACAAGGGCGTGGCATAGCGGGTTAGCTTTCTACGCAGCGAATCGAAGAATGAGCTGGGAGAGCCGTGGGCTCGCTCATATCTACTGAACTATCTATAGTACAGACTTCGACATTAGGAAAATTTGCCCTCGCCCCAACAGCTCCAGCAACCTTCAAGGGTTTGATTGGTGCGGATTACTTTTGAATCCCCTAACCGAAGATTCAGATTTATCGAAATCTGAGTCTGATCACTTCAACACAAAAAAATGATCTCAGTCGTTGGCTTTGTATGTGTTACAGCTGCAATTTTATTTATCTACGCTACACACCCTATACAGGCTTGTATCGTGTTTCGTCCGTCGATTCCTTTGTAGAGTACTTCATGCTCTTCACTTGTGCTTCGGCTTGTTGGTGGCGCTCGACTTGGCCTCCTTCGACGACTTGGTCTTCGACATCGTCTTGCTTCCATTCTCGGTGGTGGCAGCATCTGTGTTCTCGGTCGCAGAATCCTTCCTACGATCATCAGCACCGTCATCGGAATAGCCAGACTCATAGTCAAATTAGCCCGGGTAATCATGGCCGTAATCGGGGTTAGCCGTAGCCGTAGCTAGGATAGCCATAGCATACGACGAGTAGTGGCCCGGGTAGTATCCAGAACCATAGACATAACCATCGTCCTTACCGTAGGACGATGCAGTCATCGCCGTAGCTCTTGTAGCCGTAGCTGTAGCCACTGCCATAACCCTTGCAGTCATAGTCGTCGTGGTCATAACCCTCGTGCTTGTTGTAATAGTTTTCCGTACTCACAGCAACCTCTGTCATAGCTGCAGCCGAAATTCTTGACGAAATTGTAGTCATTGTAGTCGTTACCATAATTTTTTAGGGAGCCAACTACCGTAGCCGTAGCCATCATGGCGCTTGCCATAGTCATAGTCACAGTCGTCGTGCTTTTTAATGAGATCACCGCAATCCTTCTCCTTCTTGCTATCGTAGTCCTCGTGTGGATCGGTAGATCTACTGCTATTTCGCCTGTTGTCGACTTGGCGGAGACCAACGATGACGTCAGATCGTCCGCTTTAACGCCAACCTGGCCCATTGCCACGGATGCGAGCACACCCACACCAAATATCAACACCGTGGCGATCTTCATGGTTGCTGGTTGGTCACAGAAGTTTATTGGTCCAAAGGATTGAAAATTAGAGGTGCTTGGATGTTGTTGAATCGAAAAACGACTACTTACTGCTCTGCCGGTGCTGGACTCCGACGATAGCTTGACTTGACTATCAGAGAACGTCATCATTTGTAGAAGTCGCCGTTGAAGAATCACTTAACGTCTCAAACGTGTAAAAATAAAATGAATAGTTATTTACTACCATTTTATTGTATTTACTGTTTCCGAACTCTGCTCACATATGCATAACGAATAGTTATAAGTTGGCATTTGCTATCATAGTGTGGACTCCTTCAATATGCGTATCGACAACCTTTTAATTAGCGTTGTTGGAAACTCGACAAAATCTACCTCCCATACTAAAAGCATTTTTCATTAGAATAGTACTTGCACAATCAAGACAATAGCTAAGTATTCCTGACAGATTCACCGCGTTTGTATGGCAATGGCGCCAAATGGCCACTACATAAGTGCTCTAATATTACTTGCAGTTCGTTATTCCACACTTGCAGCCCAAGTCGCATCGACTCGCTCGACATTTTTACATTATCATATAGGATGGCCTGTGACCAGCAGGTACTTGAAAATGTCAGCAATAACACATATTTTCACTGCCATACAAATAGATAGCGTAAAAAGGCTAGATCAGGACGTCCGCGAGTAGTTGTTTCGGTTTTGTATGCAAGTCCCACATGAGAAACTCCTACAGTATCGGTTGAAATCGGTAATTGTCTCCTCGGTATAGTGAATACCTATTACTTCACTGATAATAACTTTCTCAATTTGGAAAATCCAGGACACTGTGTCCTGTAATAAGCAAACTGATAGGTTCCATTACTGACAAATTCTGTAACAATGACCCTTTTCTTGACCACTGTTTTTCCAGAAACTCGAGTAATTTCAGAAACTAAAGTTTTCTTCAATCAACTGGCGCTGAGCTTTACCTTAAAATGACAACCGGATCAGAATGTGGTCGTACTCTGTTTCTCCGTGCGGCACTATCACCACGTAATTGCACCATAACAGGGACGAGCACACCTAGAACAAATAAATGGGCTTGAGGAAGCACCCACTATTTTCAGGGCTCCCCAATAAGCAATGTCAAATATATTTAGTCCTCACAAAGCAATGAAATATTCATTCAATTATCCAGTCTCTAGTTGACACTACCTACATCCCACGCATCTCTATTGTAGGACAGAAACATCAACACTTCCAGCGTGTTAACATCCATGTTTTTACGCATGTCCGTGTACACCAGCTTCGCCTGAGATTAAAAAAAATCTCTCACACTCATTAGACGTAGGAGGTATCCACGACACAGATATGTAAGTAGTACGCGCTGGGGTCGCTTTCTGAAAGACGGGCCCAAAATCGAGCATGTCGTCTCATCAGTTGGTGGTGCAGCAGGTGAGGCCTTGAAACTTTTGCAGGCCTCTTGCTCAAGCGTAGCCAGGCAGCCATCAGTAATGATTTTGGTGATGTCAGTCTCCAACGCCGGGTAGTTGACTACCGCGGAATCAAACGCCAACCTTCCCCTCATTGCCGAGTATTGGCGCGAGACCCAGTCAAACGCGCGCCGTACCCCTACTAGCGTCGATATGGGGTCCTGCAAAGCCTTCGTGACTTCGTTGAAATCAAACAGCCCATGCATTTTGGCCAATAGCGTGTCTTCATTGGCCAAAATGTCGTTCACAGCCAGCTGAAAACGGCGACTTGTTAGGATTCCGCTCCGTTGGTTGCAAGACCATTGGGTCATGAAAAACCGCCACGATGGCAATGAAGTGACGGCCACCACTAGACCACCCATCGAGCAGCACCCCAAACTCCTCAGTAAGCTTGAGAGCAATGTGGTCTCGAACGTAGGTATAGAGATGATCAATGTACTTCTGCAGCGTTGCAGCCAAATTCGGCTCCATCTTAGCGTTACTACGAACGAGAGGACGCTTGCTGAAACTCACGGGCATACAGTCCACTCAATCCAGTGGAGCACGTCACTAGGCCGCTTGTAACGGGGTTACACGCAAGTGGCTACATGTAGCCACTTGATTACGACAATGGGTTTCACGTTGGTGGGAGATACACCAATGGTTACATTCGACAACCACTGGATGTGTGCATTTAGACTTCCTATTGGTTGAAAGGCGACCTCTTTCAACCAATTAGCTTAACAGGATTCTGCCAACCACTCGTTGGCAAATACCTTTCATTTAGGATATCACTTTAGGAGGAAACCCAAACCCAAAACATAAACATAAATAGCAGTTCTCAATTTTACGGTAAATCGGCTTTTGCATTTCTTACTTAAGTAATTATATACTTACGAGACGTAAGTATAGTTAATCTAAGTTAAGCAAACTACGCTTCCTCATACACGTGCGCTAACGTGTAAGCCGAAGTAGTGGGTACGCAGTGAGCCCATTACACCGCTGGTCTGGCAGCGTGAGCCCAATGCGGTTGCCCTTGCGGTTGGCAGGATGACGCTTCAGGAGGTGATGGACTTGATTAGTGTAGCCATTACCGCTCTTGCATACCATTTGACATGTGTTGAGCGGGCCTGGTTAAGTGCGAGCTCAGTGAAGATCAAAGAATAGAGATCCCTATTTGAAAACTTCATGGTGGCCGTTGTTGGAAGAGTGCTGAATAGAGAAAATGCGCAAGTGAGAGAAGGCTGGAGCTAGCAACAAGTTCGAGAGATCCGCGGATTCTCAGCCAGACCTTATGGTTGGTAGATATTGATACTATAGTTTTTCATAAAATGGCAAAAATATATCAAAATATAGGTGATACCTCTGAATAAAAATTCCCTTGTGAATATCAAAATGTATTTAAATGTTATATGCTGAAGTGGGGAGGCCTGACTATTTGTACAATGTCGTGTTTCGCCCGAAGCCATAAGTTTCAAGACGGGAACGCCCTTTGCTGCCTCATCTTCTGCACCTCATAGCCGCAGCATCCATTCTGGCACAGATGGTTCAGCAGCTCCTTCAAACGTCAATTCGAAACAAGCAAAAACATTTCAGAATGATTGGTTGTCGCTCCAACAGATAGTTTTGCCAAGATTTCTAAACGAACTTTCCAATTACATGGTTGGGATTCACTGACATATATTTTAGGCTGCGATAGGCTTTTACACTCAACTCTCTATGCTATAGCACCGAGCACGACAACACAGGTAATATTTGCTTTGTTTTCCTATCTGGATTTTGTATCTGTGACGTGTATAACAAAGATTGGGAGCTGGACCGCCCAGCAAATGCCTACTTGTATTGTGAGAAACAAATTGCAAAGTAACCTGGCCTGACTACTTTGCCAGCACTCTCTCCTGCCTCCATGGCAGTCCAAGGAGAACACCTGTTGAACATCATCTTGCTGCAGGACGAACATGTGCTTGAAGTTGGATATGACTCAACCATATTACGGGTTGGAGGAGCTGACGTCGATATACAATCCATGCCATCGCCACATATCCAGAGTTTTAGGAGGCGAGGCATTCTAACCCAAAACTACTGTAACATTTTATACCTTGGAGCCCAAAATTACTCGAGATACTGTAACCTTGCAATTAATTCCTGTTGAGTTTGATACTACTTTATATAAGATTTGCCACAGAGTAGGCGTACCCATTATATCGGGTCCCCGCTGACATGACTCTCGTATCGGAAGCGAGGTCCTTAATTTAATCAAGTATGCCGTACCTTGGCATTTCATACCCGTTGCACAACTCATGCAAAGAACGTGAATGCTGCACATGGCAGCCAAGTGCAGCATCATCGGTAAATTACGGAAAACGAAAGTAATTTATTAAGATGAATGTGTATTCCACAGACCTGTAGGTTTTGCAGCACACGAACTAAATGTTTGCGATTTATTTGTTCTCTTAATTAGAGAATATAGGTTATCTCCTTAAAGAATATACCTCTGTCGGTTGTTTCGACAAACCATTTAATAAGAACGAGTAGCGACGGATGCTCTGCGTGGTTTCCTGTAAATTTACGCCGTTGTTGCGCGTTTGTTCCAGATAGAGTTCAAGCTCATCCTGTAAGCAAATGAATTCCACGAGATAGAGATATCCAAGTATTTTTCGTTTTGGTTTACGACAACGTTCAGCGAAGACTTTTGTAGTGAGTTTCTCAGTATAGGCTAGGTTGTAACCACATCAACAGACATTATGACGGAGAGAGAGAGAGAGCTTATGGGGGAGAATGTTAAATTGAGAAAAACACGGGATACAACGACGACGGGGGCTATATAATTACTGTTGTTCAAATACTGACACATATGTTACCTACAGATCCCGAGGGAAAATCTGTTTCGCTTTGTTACTAACAGAAAGTCAGTGCTTAGAGAGGCAACAGCGAAGTCAGTGCGTACATTTGGCATTTCTGTTCGTTAAAATAAGCGGTGATGTATGCAACAATGCAATGCTGGAGTCAAGAGTTATGCACGCCGAACTGCATGGGCCAGTTCCTCGACTTTATATTCCAATGACTCTCTATGGATGAAGACTATGCTCCACACATACACCCCTTCTGTCGAAGCCAATCCGCATCCTGAAACTTGACCAACTCGATGCTCCTTGTATGTTTTTCCTTCAACTTCGATATCAAATTCTTGGACAACAGGCCACTTTAAAGGCCTCCCAGGGGTCCTTGTGAACGGTTGGATGAGTCGATCGACATCATTGGGGTCTGAATCACGTATCGGTCCTCTCTGGCATGCTCTCGGCCGACCAGGCAACCCTCGCATCGGGATCTTATGCAAGTCTAATCCAATTTTGAAGCTTATTTAGCAAGTCGAGGGAAGTAACGACGTGGGAGCACACCCAATCTGTATGCTAAAAAAATGCAGGTAGAACGGAACACATTCCGGATTGAGCGTATCTGTCCATATCCAAAACGATATATATATTTAGAAAATTGGAATGGAATACAGTTTAACACCATGGCGTACCTCATTAAAGCGCCACTTTGATTTTGGTATCAGCGGATTGATCTGCGTGAGAGCCCGTCGGTATACAGTCATGTGCTGTAGCGAATTCGCTGTACATATCCCGTACCCGGTCGATCCACAGAGATTCCTCCGCAGTCTACTAGGGTCCAACCACCGAAATGGATTTTGTATGTGCCGTCCGTTTGACATAACTTTACCGCTGTCCAGTTCTTCTAATGCCATGAATTCACTGATCTCCCATCCATCAGCCGCCAGTCGCTTCAAAAAACTTGTCCTGCATTCCATTTTCTTCGTTTCCGGCACGAGCTTGAGCATGGTAGGATCTCTCGAATACTTAAAAAGCAGCATGTTCCTCACCCAACCTGCGGCCATACCGAGCTTTAGCAGAACATCCACTTCGGGTTTTAAAATCGGTGATATGCCCTTAGTTGTGAAATTAACTACAGTTCCATCATGTTCTCCTTCCTGTAGAATCTGGAATTTGTTCCCAGCTTCACCAGCATGATGGGAGATTAACTTAATTCGTTGATGACAACCTTTGTGTAAGCGGCACTTAAACGCCTTTCCAACACGAAACGTTGACATGTATCGCGTCTTATAGCTGTAAATAGAATGATTCAGCTGGTCCAAGCTCCGCTCTCCCATCTCCTCTGTATCGAAATTACCGACACTGATGTATTGGACTTTGTTCTGATTAGCAACAGTGGGTATGCTAAACAGACCAGTTCCATCAGCCGCATTTTCATACACCAAAGATGAATCAGAATCTTGACCACCGTCTACCGCGGCAACCACTCCAGAACTACCACTATTAGAATACAACGCAGAGCATGCAGTGCCATTGTCTGTAGTAGAAGTGTTCTCGTAGGCGGAAGATGCGACGTCCATGTCTTCGCCCGAGCTAGTGGCAGCGACGTGCATGTCTTCTATGAGTCTGTTGTATAGTCATCGTCCAAATCTTCTACCGAAACAGTCCCGCTCAGCATGTCCTCGTTCTCTGACTTGGTGGCATCGTCTGCATACTCCAGCACATCCGTTTCTTCACCGTCTCGCTTGGGGAGAACACCAGCAGCTCCATGGGATCAGCTTCACACTGCACTGCCTGTTCTTATGTCCGGTGAAAGTGTGACCTGATTGAAACTCCTTCATAGGACTCTAGTAGTCTGTAAATAGCAACACGTATTTGATGGGTAAAAAGATAACAGTATTTCAGTATTGAATTTCTGTTTACCATATAACTAACAGTTTTTCAAGCCCACTAACAGGTGGTTGGCATGAGCAATAGGTATTCTATAAAATATGAGGCAACAGATGTGTCAGTGTCAGAGCAACAGATTTAATATTCTTTTCCTTCGATGAGGTAGGCTAATGGGCAATAGTCATTAGCCTACCTTGTCGCTGTAGCGCGTTTCTGTATTCCTTGAGGCCACGTCGACTTTCCATCTCTGCTTGTTGAGCGTAGTATCAGAAGATTACCGGTGGAAGTTTATTCTTACTGTAAGTAGACCTTGTCTATACTTGACAGGAACCTTTTACATTTTGTTGCTATGACTGCAGCAATAGCAACAGTAAACTAGAATGAAAATCCAAAGCTTCCCATGTAAAACACGGCATTAGGGGGGGGGGGGGTCTCGTCGCCGGCTGCTAACTATACGGTAATTGCTGCAGCGTGCCAATCAATCAATCCGGTGTAAATCAATCAAACTCACGCTTAATAACCGATGGATCATCTTTAAGTTACTGTAAATACTTGTCAATCACAAAACATCCAAATATATACGTAAACAGGGAGAAGGTTAAAGCAGCTTACCTTACAGTAATTGCTACTTCCTCCGTCCGAAAATATAAGGCAGTTTGTCCAAAAGTTTCATTTTTAAGCTCAAATCATCGTATGAAGGTTCATTAATTGGCTAACAGTAAGGCGCTCCGCTTAAAGATGCGATTGGTGGGTTTTACGAATAAATTCGTTGGCTAGAAGCAAAGTTACGATCTCCGGAACAGTGCCACTTCATCCCACTCTACCTTTTTCCTTCGTCGTTCCTACCCATGGCTATTCCCACCGCTCTAAAGTGCCGCACCCGCAAGAACC